TCAACTGATACTACAGAAATACAAAAAATTATTAGAGACTATTATAACCAACTATATGCCAACAAATTTGAAAACCTGGAGGAAATGAACAAATTTATGGACACCTACAAACTACCAAGACTGAAGCAAGAAGATATAGAAAATCTGAACAGACCAGTACCAAGCAATAAGATTGCAACAGTAATCAGCAGTCTCCCAATAAGGGAAAACTCAGGACTGGATTGCTTTACTGCTAATTTCTACCAAAACTTTTAAAAGTAATTAACACCAATTCTCTTAAAACTATTCCAAAAAATTGAAACAGATGCTATTCACCCAAACTCATTCTATGAAGCCAGTATCATCTTGCTACCAAAACCAAACAGAGATACAACAAAAAAAGACAACTACAGGCCAATATCTCTGATGAACATAGATGCAAACATCCTCAACAAAATATTAGCAAACAGAATACAGAAACACATCAAAAAAATTATACACTATGATCAAGTGGGATTCATCCCAGGTATGCAAGGGTGGTTCAAAACACACAATACAATAAATATGACACACCACATCAACAAAATCAAGGACAAAAACCGTACAATTATCTCAATAGATGCAGAAAGAACATTTGACAAAATTTGACATGCCTTCATGATAAAGACACAGCAAATTAGGTATACATAGAAAGTATCTCAACACAATAAAAGCCATATATAACAAACCCACCACCAATATCATATTGAATGGGGAAAAGTTGAAAGCTGTTCCTTTAAGAATGGTGACAAGGATGCTCACTCTTACTACTCCTATTTTACATAGTAAAAGAAGTACTAGCCAGAACCATCAGGCAGGAGAAATAAATAAAGGGCCTCCAGATTGGAAAGGATGAATTTGAACTGGCCATGTTTGCAGATGACATGATCCTTTATATAGAAAAGCCTAAAGACTCTACCAAAAAACTCTTATAATTGATAAATGATTTCAGTAAAGTGGCAAGGCACAAAATCAGCACACAAAAATCAATAGTGATTTTATACTCCAACAACCAAGTAGCAGAAAAAGAAATGAAGAAAACTTGCCTACTTACAATAGTTTACAAAAAATAAAATACCTAGGAACAAAGTTAACCAAGGAGGTGAAAGATCACTACAATGAGAACTACAAATCACTGTTTGAAGAAATTAAAGAGGAAACAAAGAGACGGAAAACCATTCCATGGTCTTGGATTGGAAGAATTAACACTGTGAAAATGTCTATACTACCCATAATGATCTATAGATCCAAAGCAATCACCATCCAAATACCACTAACATTCTTCAAAGAAATAGTAAAAGTACTCTTAACATTCAAATGGAACAACAAAAGACCCTGAATAGTCAAAGAAATCCTTAGCAAAAATAAATAAATAAATAAAGCTGGACATATAACACTGCCTGACTTCAAACTATACTACAAAGCTATAGTATCCAAAACAGAATGGTACTGGCATAAAAAAAAGACACACAGACCAATGGAACAGAACACAGCACCTAGTAATCAACCCACATATTTGCAGACAACTAATCTTTGGCAAAGGCACCAAGAACACACATTGAGGAAAAGGCTGCTCTTTAATAAATGGTGCTGTGAAAACTGGATATCCATATGTAGAAGAATGAAACTCAACCTCTCACCATATACTAAAATCAACTCCAAATGGATTAAAGACATAAATATGGGAGTCAAAACTATAAAGTCCTAAAAGAAAACATACAGGAAACAGTTGAGAAAGTAGGACTGGGCAAAGATTCTATGAATAAGAACCCCAAAGCGCAGGCAACAAAAGGAAAAATAAGCAAATATGGTTATATCAAACTAAAAGCTTCTTCACAGCAAAGGAAATAATTAACAGAGCAAAAAGACAACCTACAGTATAGGAGAAAATATTTGCAAACTGTGCATATGGCAAAGAATTAATATCAAGAATATACAAGAAACTCAAACAACTTAACGGTACAAAAACAAATCACCCAATTAAAAAATGGGAAAATGAGCTGAATTGCCATTTCTCAAAGGATGATAAAAGAATGTTCAACAGACACATGAAAAAATGCTCAACATCACTCAGTATCTGGCAAATGCAAATCAATACCACATTGCTATATCATCTCACCCGAGTTAGGCAGGCTAATATCAAAAATACAGAGAATTACAAATGCTGGTGAGGATGCAGAGAAAGGGGAACCCTTCTACACTGTTGGTTGGACTGTAAATTGGTGCAGCCATTATGGAAAACTGTAAGGAGCTTCCTTAAACAACTATGTATAGAACTCCTAAAAGATCCAGCAATCATACTTCTGGGTATATACCCAATGGAATGGAAATCAACATGTCAAAGGGATACCTGCACTCCCATGTTCATCGAAGCTCTATTCATAATACTCAAGAGGTGGAGCCAACCTAAATGTCCAGTAATAGATGACTGGATAAGGAAAATATGGTATATTTATGTAATGAAATACTACTCAGCCATGAAAAAGAATGAAATTCTGCGATTTGCAGCAACATGGATGAGCCTGGAGAAAATTATGTTAAGTGAAATAAGCTGGTCACAGAAAGAGAAATAAGGAATATCCTCACTCCTAAGTGAGAGGAAAGCACGAAAACTAGCAAGCAAATGAGAAAGAAAGAAGGAAAGAAAGAAAAACGACAGTAATATGTTGAACTTTCAGAAGGAAAGAACAGATCTATGGTTATTAGAGGTGGCACAGGGGAAGGGGGAGGGGTATTAGGGAGAAATTAGTTAATGGACACAAAGAATAATTATGATTCGTAGTGATTAACATGCTAATAACACTGATTGGATCATCATATATTGTACACAAATAGAGACAGTCAATTGGATGCCCTACAAAGTATATGTGTAATCAATTATTTTTCAATTAAAAATAAATTTTAAAAGAAAGTTATTCTAAAAAAGGATTTGTATGTATTTAGGTTCTAGGAAGCACTCATGATTTTGATTCCTTGTTTATCTGGGTGCTCAGAAAAGCCATACATCTATGATTTGCAAAGTTTCTTCTCTACTTTATTCCAAACTAGCTGAGGTTTGAAATGGAGTTTTGTGTAATATGAGGTATGTAGAAAATATTTAGAAAAAATGGGAGTAATTCCAGGAAAGAGCAAACAATTTCAAGGCTGAAAGGAAACACAATAGCAAAAAGAAAAGAAAACCACCAAATACATCATTCTAGAGAATGTTTTCAAGTCTCCTTATCATTCTGTTTGTTTACCAGACCTTAAGACATAGGCACTTTGAAGCCTGTTCATGTTCTCTTAGGGCAATTTTACCTCTAGTCCCAGAAGCCATCTGGTCACACAGAATGAATTAATTAAACTATTTATTTCCTTTGTTAAAGTGGTCTGAAGCTGCATTAGCTTTAAGCCATTAATGGATAAGATATTCATGATTTTGATGAATAACATCAAAAGTACACACCATATAAGTGCTTTGGGCAAAGTGTGAATTTGTTAAATGGAATGAAATAAAATTAACCTCTCGTGAACAAGGTTAGTAATGTACAGAAAGACAGAATACTTCCCAGGACACAGGTATGAAGTTCAGTGCTTGATAGCAGCAATGCCATTATTATTTTTATTTAAGTTGTGAAGAAAAGATGGAATGTTAACATTAAAGAGAAAAATGGGAGTGTGAGTAGTGTAACTTAGATATTATTATCCATCAATGCATGCAAGAAGAAGACATGAAAATAGTGGTTCAGGAGAATTCCATGCACTATGTCCTGCATATGGCCATACATAGCCTTGAGTGTAACATTTGTGTGTATCTCTTTCTCTCCCTTCTAATTCCAAACACATAAAGCAATCCTTTTCCAAAATAATAATGACCCACTAAAAGTTAATTAATGAGCACATAGACTGACAGTAATCTTTAGTGTAATGTGGAGAAAATAGGATAATTTAGTCAGGCTCCCTCCGCTCAGGTCTGGTTGGGGGTCGAGCAGCACATTTCTTATAAACAAGTTGTATGTGGGTGGAGTTAGTGTGCATGTGCACCCACGTATCTTTTTAGTTTTGCTGCTATTGTGTGTTCTTCAGTTTGTGAAACAGAGCTGGCCAGAAGAGCTTGTGTCTAAAAATAGAGCATGTTTACTCTGCTGGCAGCTTCTCAGTTTTTCTTTGGACTTTGCCAGTAGCAGTTGAGTTTTCCAGTTTCACTTTGTACTGCCTAGCTCCTAGATGTGTGTGTGCTGAATAAAGACTTCTTCAACCAAGGCTCCAAGAACCTTTTTGTCAATTATCTAGCTCATAGAACTGTGTGTGAAGGGTTTATGAATGGGCTTGAGGGGTTTGTGAGCTCCAGACCCTAGCCCTAGCTCAACAGGTACAATTCACTCTGTTACTTCTTATTGTAAACATGTTTAACAAATTTTATTGCTCTACACTTCACCTTTTTGTCATTTGGTTACTCAAATCATCTCAGGGTATAATGTAAAAGTGGTATTTCTGGTCTAAGGCCCAGAAACATGGTTTCACCAAGATATATCTGAATTTTTCTAAGCCTGTTAAAGCAACATGTAACAAGGCCACACTGTCGGGAAATCATTATGCTGATATTTCTCACTTTCAGTTCATACTTGTTTAGTATTTCCTTTGTGCCAGTTCCTGTCCAATTACTCAATAATTATCAACTCAATGAATTCCTCACGATTACAGATGAGATAGTTTCTGTTATTTCTTCCATTTTACAGACGAGTAAACTGAGAGGCCCAGAAGTAAATTTAACAAAGACAGAATTTGATCCTAGGAAGCCTATCTTCAGAGTGTATGCTGGCAACACCTATTATGCCATTTCTCTTGAGAGCAAACTTGCATTTGGAAATTTTTTAAAAAAGCGTTATGTCCAATGTGATTATATCAGATGTCTCTCCTTTTAACATTTTACAGTGGAGTGGAATATAAATCTATTATTCTTTATCATCAGATACGAAAGAATCTAAATTGAAATATCTTACCAGTTATCTCTATCATCATGGAAAAGAAGATTGGTGAAAAATGACACAGGTTTAGATGATTTGAAACTGACGTGGCAGATGAGCTCATAATTAATTCCAGTTTTAGAGCCTGTGATGACTCTGCCTTTTGGAAACTTCACAGAAAGAGGGTGAATCTCATCACCATCAAGAAGCCTTGCTGTGGGAATCTGGAAGTTTAGAGTTGAGCTTCTGTTTAAAATTAAAAAAAAAATTAGCTCAAAATATCTGCAAGTACATCGACTTAAATGTGTATTTGTTTATTGAAGCATCAGAAAAATCTAAAAAACAAATATTTACAATAATATGTCCAATTATCAAAGATATTTTAGTATCTTCCCTTATTTTCTGGTCCCTGTATAAGCAAGATTGATAACATATTAATTTAACAAAGGACCACTTGAAATGATCATATGTACCTTTTTTCTATAAGGATTAAAAAAGAAATAAAACACTTGATTGAATACAATGTGTTTTTAACCACAAGCATGATATAAATAATATTGCTCTTAAATATATTCTGATAAGAAATTTACCAAAAAAATACCACTTTAATAGCTACAAATTTAATGCATGTATGTTAAATAATATTAACTTATGCATATACATGCAAAATTTTTAAAGTTTGGATACTATTAAGCACCTGTATAAATATAATGTATCATGAATAATTTTTAATCATTACTATTCAAAAATTCTGCTTAATGTTCACATATTTTATTACATAGGTATAGTTTATTGAGCCAATCTATATATAATGTTTCTAACTTTTAATAATATAGTAGATAGTATGCACTTTAAAATCAAATTACTACTTATAATTTTTAGTGAACAATAAATATTTGATGAAATTACTTTGTTTTATTTTATTATATATGTATGAACCTATAGCAAATAAGTGTTATTAAATGGGAATCATATTTCTGTAATGTTTTAATCAGTATGAAGATTATTCAGCTAATTAATAAGAAAAAGTACAGAAAGATCTCAACTTGGATTATTAGTTAAATCTATACAGTGCATTGAATAAAAACGTAGAAAAGCAATATATAAATCTGATTTTAAAACAACTCAGTGTCATAAGTCATTAATGCTATTGATTTTACTGTGTTTGAGATATTTGTTCAGCACCATTAATTGAACAGTAACCTCTTTTCTCCAAAGATCTGCAATATCACCTTCATCATGTATTCAGTATCCATTTATGTATGGGCCTTTTTCAAGGCTCTCAGTTCTATTACTTTGGTCATTTTATCTATTCCTGAATCACTGTCACAATGGTTTAGTCTTGATATTTGGTAAGGCAAGCTCTTCTCACTTTATTCTTCTTCATCAGGGATGGCCTGACTCTTTTTGGCCCTTGACTCATAAATAAAATTTAGAACTTTACTTGTCAATCTCCATGAAAAACGTTGTTTAAATTTTTATTGAGTCACCTAGAATATGTAAATGGATTTGTGGAGAACGTTTTACAAACTCTGAATATTACATTCCATGAATTTTTATGTATGACTTCTTTAATTTGTTTTATAATTTTCTCCTACAGCTCCATACAGTTCTTTCATATCTTTTATTTGGTTTTTATCTATTACCTCTTAATTTTTTATGTTATTATAAATAGTAATTTTAAAGTTACATGCTTTAAATATTATATGCTGAAATTCTACTGAGTTTTAAAGATTGAAATTGTATGTCTACTTTTATAAATGTTCCTCATGGTTTTAAGATGTTGCCTGTATATATAT